TTTACCCTACCAAATCATCATGTCGCCATCTTTTCTTCTTCATTATTTTACAAGGTATTATATAGATTACTATACAAGTAGCCCTAGAGCAATTGCCTAATCTAAAGAAAGGGCGTTTGATCGTCTATTCAAATTGTAAAGGAATTTGACTTAGTAGCAAAACCCTATCCTTAGAGAAAAGGGATTTATAACATGACGGTAAAGTACTGTAATGTAGTCTATAATCGTATAGTTACCGTATAATCTGACGCTAAAACATCAACTGTCAACACTCAGCGATACTAATGTCAGAAAAGTAGTCGTAGTAGTCCTATAAAATTTTTTGATAAGCGATTATTGTGATCTTTATAAAATCCGGATTTTCGGATTCGGATTCTGGAACCGGTCGGATTTATGTCCGATATAATTTTTCTGTTTTAATTTTTGGATTTTAGTTTATGAAAAATATCGTAAGAGTTGATTTTTGAATATGAACTTATTGTTATGAATTTGTTACTTTGGAATTTTATGACGTGACTTGAAAGTCACATTGGGAAAGTTTAGTTAGGAAAATAGAAAATAAGATAGGAATTGGCAGAGGTTGTGTTGATTGTTAAGTAGTTACGCTGTTATTTTTATGACTAAATCTTGATGTTTAAAGGTTGATTTTTAGACTTTTATAGTGCATTAATGAGAAATTGTGATGGAGCGTTCGATATCTCAGAGGATTGAGATTTAGTCGCCATTTACAATTATTACAACAAAGGGTTTATAAAAGTTATGCTTTATTGTAGGTTAGTATTGTGAAGTACAGTGAGGTAGTTACGGTAGATCAGCGTGCAAGCTGTCGTGTGCAACGAGTAGAAGTATTAGACTGTGAGAGACTAACTAGGAGACTAACTGAGAGGCTAATGAACTCTGAGGTAGAAATTGCCGTTATTTATAGTTTTAAAGATTGAGCATATGCAGAGAATCAGATTGTGGAATTAGATACAACATATACCATAACAGGTTACAAAATAGCAGATGATTGTAGAAAACAGCGAGTACCGTAATAACTAAATGCAGTAGTCTATATATGAATGTAAAATAAGCGGACTGTAGATCTGTCTAAATATAAGAACAAATACATATGTCTATATTTAAGG